GTGTGTCCGGAGCTGTGCTGCGGACGGTCGCTGTGGTTACTGTGGAAGGTTATATGACGTGATGGTAGTTAATGGGTAATTTGTATGATGGGTGAAAGGATAATGGTAGGATAGTGTTCGTAGGTGTGTTTATGAGTACAGGGAGGAGAGGCAGGCAGACAGGCGGACAGAATGTGAGTGTAAGGAAGCGCTGAGTGCTTGAGGAGGCAGGAGGAGAGTGCACGCAAAACACCGGATACAGTAGGGACAAGACTGGCTGAGAGTAGTATGTAAGGGAGTGTGTATGACACAGTACACTGTGAAGCGGTGGTGTGTATGACACAGTACACTGTGAAGCGGTGGTGTGTATGACACAGTACACTGTGAAGCGGTGGTGTGTATGCCACAGTACACTGTGAAGCGGTGGTGTGTATGACACAGTACACTGTGAAGCGGTGGTGTGTATGACACAGTACACTGTGAAGCGGTGGTGTGTATGACACAGTACACTGTGAAGCGGTGGTGTGTATGACACAGTACACTGTGAAGCGGTGGTGTGTATGACACACTACACTGTGAAGCGGTGGTGTGTATGACACAGTACACTGTGAAGCGGTGGTGTGTATGACACACTACACTGTGAAGCGGTGGTGTGTATGACACAGTACACTGTGAAGCGGTGGTGTGTATGACACACTACACTGTGAAGCGGTGGTGTGTGTGCCACAGTACACTGTGAAGCGGTGGTGTGTGTGACACACTACACTGTGAAGCGGTGGCGGCTGCTCTCGAAGACTGCTGGAGCACAGTAGCTCTGGTTATCCCTCACGCCATTATCTGCCAGTAACATAATGAATGACATGCTGATTTGGCCAATATCTTTAACCTTCTCTTACTGAGTTACTTTCCAAGCCGATGCTTCCTCAACCAATCAAAGTGAGGCAATGATGGTAATAAAGATGGTGAGGAATGATGACATTGTGTGAGCGTGTGTGGCCAGGTAGATGACATTGTGTGGCCAGGTAGATGACATTGTGTGGCCAGGTAGATGACATTGTGTGGCCAGGTAGATGTCATTGTGTGGCCAGGTAGATGACATTGTGTGGCCAGGTAGATGTCATTGTGTGACCGTGTGTGGCCAGGTAGATGTCATTGTATGGCCAGGTAGATGTCATTGTGTGACCGTGTGTGGCCAGGTAGATGTCATTGTGTGGCCAGGTAGATGTCATTGTGTGACCGTGTGTGGCCAGGTAGATGTCATTGTGTAGCCAGGTAGATGTCATTGTGTGGCCAGGTAGATGTCATTGTGTGGCCAGGTAGATGTCATTGTGTGGCCAGGTAGATGTCATTGTGTGGCCAGGTAGATGTCATTGTGTGGCCAGGTAGATGTCATTGTGTGGCCAGGTAGAAGACATTGTGACCAGGTAGATGACATTGTGTGTCCAGGTAGATGACATTGTGTGGCCAGGTAGATGACATTGTGTGGCCAGGTAGATGACATTGTGTGGCCAGGTAGATGACATTGTGTGGCCAGGTAGATGGCATTGTGTGACCAGGTAGATGTCATTGTGTGACCAGGTAGATGACATTGTGTGACCGTGTGTGGCCAGGTAGATGTCATTGTGTGGCCAGGTAGATGACATTGTGTGACCGTGTGTGGCCAGGTAGATGACATTGTGTGGCCAGGTAGATGACATTGTGTGGCCAGGTAGATGACATTGTGTGACCGTGTGTGGCCAGGTAGATGTCATTGTGTGGCCAGGTAGATGTCATTGTGTGGCCAGGTAGATGTCATTGTGTGGCCAGGTAGATGTCATTGTGTGGCCAGGTAGATGACATTGTGTGGCCAGGTAGATGACATTGTGTGGCCAGGTAGATGGCATTGTGTGACCAGGTAGATGTCATTGTGTGACCAGGTAGATGACATTGTGTGACCGTGTGTGGCCAGGTAGATGTCATTGTGTGGCCAGGTAGATGACATTGTGTGACCGTGTGTGGCCAGGTAGATGACATTGTGTGGCCAGGTAGATGACATTGTGTGACCGTGTGTGGCCAGGTAGATGTCATTGTGTGGCCAGGTAGATGTCATTGTGTGGCCAGGTAGATGTCATTGTGTGGCCAGGTAGATGTCATTGTGTGGCCAGGTAGATGACATTGTGTGGCCAGGTAGATGTCATTGTGTGGCCTGGTAGACTGGGTAATAAAGTGTACAGGTTGTGTCACCAGGCAGAGGATCGTCGTGGGGGAGGAATGGGGTTCAAGGGCGCCGCCCCCGTCACACAGGGACCCGACGTGCCTGAGCCTCTCATCACCAAGGATCCATATCAGTCCTTCATCGACAACGAAGTGCATGACGTTCCTCTCCTGATCGGGACCAACAAGCACGAAGGCTCCTTCGTCTTAGGCAGTGAGTCTCTTGCTCTTACTACGACTTATAGTCCTGGATAACCTGTCCTTAATCCTTACTCCAGAATAGGACCTTGGCCGAGGAATCCCCAAACAGTCCCCGTGGCGTAGTGGTAAAACATTCGCCCAGCGCTCCCCAAGCGTTTTGGCCTGGTTATATATATATATATATATATATATATATATATATATATATATATATATATATATATATATATATATATATATATATATATATATATATATATATATGTCGTACCTAGTAGCCAGAACGCACTTCTCATCCTACTATGCAAGGCCCGATTTGCCTAATAAGCCAAGTTTCATGAATTAATATATTTTCTCTAATTTTTTCTTATAAAATGATAAAGCTACCCATTTCATTATGTATGAGGTCAATTTTTTTTATTGGAGTTAAAATTAACGTAGATATATGACGGAACCTAACCAACCCTACCTAACCTAACCTAACCTATCTTTATAGGTTAGGTTAGGTTAGGTAGCCGAAAAAGTTAGGTTAGGTTAGGTTAGGTAGGTTAGGTAGTCGAAAAAGAATTATTTCATGAAAACTTGACTTGTTAGGCAAATCGGGCCTTGCATTGTAGGCTGAGAAGTGAGTTCTGGCTACTAGGTACGACATATATATATATATATATATATATATATATATATATATATATATATATATATATATATATATATATATATATATATATATATATATATATATATACTGAGCCCTGAGTTTAATGAATGTAGAGTTCTGAGCCTTGGAAATGTTAATAGAATTAGTAGATATAAATCAAACAATGCTTAAATTACTAACTTCTAATGAGACAAAAATTTGAGAGCCATGACGAGTAGGGAGCTGAAATATAATGTATAAATGATCGAGATAAGGCAAATAAATATAATTATTAGAAAATATTAACTTGCATTATTATTAATATAATTCATTTATTATAACTATTAATAGAATATTTAGAAATTTCTAAATGTTGTTAATATCCTTGTTTTTCTTCATGATTAACACAACTATTATTTGCTGTCCCCGCGTGACGCCAGTCGTGTACTCGGAGAACCTGGAGGTAAACAACTACACACATGACAACGACTACTTGCGCAACAAAATGATTGATGACATCCTCAACGCTTTTGGTAAGTAAAGCAACAACTTGGTGGCCAGAGCAGCGTCAGTAGTCATCTCTGTAGTCTTAGCAAGAGCATCTACACGCTTCTTATATCCAATACTTAACGTTGAAACAAACTGTGTATCATGATCGCTATATCACACGTTAATTTGTGCTTTGGGAGAGTATTGCTGCCAGGTGTAGGTTGCTGGAAAGTGCTGCCAGGTGTAGGTTGCTGGAGAGTGCTGCCAGGTGTAGGTTGCTGGAGAGTGCTGCCAGGTGTAGGTTGCTGGAGAGTGCTGCCAGGTGTAGGTTGCTGGAGAGTGCTGCCAGGTGTAGGTTGCTGGAGAGTGCTGCCAGGTGTAGGTTGCTGGAGAGTGCTGCCAGGTGTAGGTTGCAGGAGAGTGCTGCCAGGTGTAGGTTGCAGGAGAGTGCTGCCAGGTGTAGGTTGCTGGAGAGTGCTGCCAGGTGTAGGTTGCTGGAGAGTGCTGCCAGGTGTAGGTTGCTGGAGAGTGCTGCCAGGTGTAGGTTGCTGGAGAGTGCTGCCAGGTGTAGGTTGCTGGAGAGTGTTGCCAGGTGTAGGTTGCTGGAGAGTGCTGCCAGGTGTAGGTTGCTGGAGAGTGTTGCCAGGTGTAGGTTGCTGGAGAGTGCTGCCAGGTGTAGGTTGCTGGAGAGTGTTGCCAGGTGTAGGTTGCTGGAGAGTGTTGCCAGGTGTAGGTTGCTGGAGAGTGCTGCCAGGTGTAGGTTGCTGGAGAGTGCTGCCAGGTGTAGGTTGCTGGAGACTGCTGCCAGGTGTAGGTTGCTGGAGAGTGCTGCCAGGTGTAGGTTGCTGGAGAGTGCTGCCAGGTGTAGGTTGCTGGAGACTGCTGCCAGGTGTAGGTTGCTGGAGAGTGTTGCCAGGTGTAGGTTGCTGGAGAGTGCTGCCAGGTGTAGGTTGCTGGAGAGTGCTGCCAGGTGTAGGTTGCTGGAGACTGCTGCCAGGTGTAGGTTGCTGGAGAGTGTTGCCAGGTGTAGGTTGCTGGAGAGTGCTGCCAGGTGTAGGTTGCTGGAGAGTGCTGCCAGGTATAGGTTGCAGGAGAGTGCTGCCAGGTGTAGGTTGCTGGAGAGTGCTGCCAGGTGTAGGTTGCTGGAGAGTGCTGCCAGGTGTAGGTTGCTGGAGAGTGCTGCCAGGTGTAGGTTGCTGGAGACTGCTGCCAGGTGTAGGTTGCTGGAGAGTGCTGCCAGGTGTAGGTTGCTGGAGAGTGCTGCCAGGTGTAGGTTGCTGGAGACTGCTGCCAGGTGTAGGTTGCTGGAGAGTGCTGCCAGGTGTAGGTTGCTGGAGAGTGCTGCCAGGTGTAGGTTGCTGGAGAGTGCTGCCAGGTGTAGGTTGCTGGAGAGTGCTGCCAGGTGTAGGTTGCTGGAGAGTGCTGCCAGGTGTAGGTTGCAGGAGAGTGCTGCCAGGTGTAGGTTGCTGGAGAGTGCTGCCAGGTGTAGGTTGCTGGAGACTGCTGCCAGGTGTAGGTTGCTGGAGAGTGCTGCCAGGTGTAGGTTGCAGGAGAGTGCTGCCAGGTGTAGGTTGCTGGAGAGTGCTGCCAGGTGTAGGTTGCTGGAGACTGCTGCCAGGTGTAGGTTGCTGGAGAGTGCTGCCAGGTGTAGGTTGCAGGAGAGTGCTGCCAGGTGTAGGTTGCAGGAGAGTGTGCGTACTTATATAGTACACTTGTTGGTGTGTAAGGCTGTGCTTGTATTAGTGAGGACAAACACACAAACACACACCATACACCACATATGTCAGGCCAATCCTGGAGTATGCAGCCCCAGCATGGAGTCCATATCTAGTCAAGGATAAGACTAAACTGGGAAAGGTTCAAAGGTTTGCCACCCAGACCAGTACCCGAGCTGAGAGGTATGAGCTACGAGGAGAGACTACGGGAATTAAACCTCACTTCGCTGGAAGACAGAAGAGTTAGGGGGGACATGATCACCACATTCAAGATTCTGAAGGGAATTGATAGGGTAGATAAAGACAGTCTATTTAACACAAGGGGCACACGCACTAGGGGACGCAGGTGGAAACTGAGTGCCCAAATGAGCCACAGAGATATTAGAAAGAACTTTTTTTAGTGTCAGAGTGGTTGACAAATGGAATGCATTAGGAAGTAATGTGGTGGAGGCTGACTCCATACACAGTTTCAAGTGTAGATAAGATAGAGCCCAGTAGGCTCAGGAATCTGTACACCTGTTGATTGATAGTTGAGAGGTGGGAACAAAGAGCCAGAGCTCAACCCCCGCAAACACAACTAGGTGAGTACACCTGTGAGAGGCACGACGAGAGCAGTGTATACAACACCTGCAGGAAAAAGTAGCAATAATACGGACATGTGAAACAGTAAAGTACCTGTGTTCAGTAAAGTACTTGTGTATAGTAAAGTATCTTGGTTCAGTAAAGTACTTGTGTATAGTAAAGTATCTGGGTTCAGTTAAGTACTTGTGTATAGTAAAGTATATGTGTGTACAGTAAAGTATATGTGTATAGTAAAGTACTTGGTATAATAAAGTACTTGTGTACAGTAAAGTATTTGTGTATCTTATCTTGAGGTTATCTTGAGATGATTTCGGGTCTTTAGTGTCCCCGCGGCCCGGTCCTCGACCAGGCCTCCACCCCCAGGAAGCAGCCCGTGACAGCTGACTAACACCCAGGTACCTACTTTACTGCTAGGTAACAGGGGCATAGGGTGAAAGAAATTCTGCCTATTGTTTCTCGGCGGCGCCTGGGATCGAACCCAGAACCACAGGATCACAAGTCCAGCGTGCTGCCCGCTCGGCCGACCGGCTCCCTGTACAGTAAAGTACCTGTGTACAGTAAAGTATATGTGTACAGTAAAGTTCTTGTGTACAGTAAAGTATATATGTACAGTAAAGTATATGTGTATAGTAAAGTATAAGTGTACAGTAAAGAATCCGTGCAGAGTAAAGTATGTAGTGGTCACAAGTGGTGGCGTCGTCAGCACTTACATCACAAGGGATCTGGCCAGGGTTCGTACCCTGGGCAAGGTGGGACGACTGGGCAGCACTTATCTTTCCCTTAGTTCGCCCTCCAGCCTCCAGAAGCACTGTGGGACCTTGATGTACACTAACTGGTGGGGGGGGGGGGGGGGGTGTCCTGGGAGCAACTTTACGCTGATTCAGTACCAGGGGAAGGGGGGAGGTGCTGCACAATGGGGGGGGAGTGCTGCACGATGGGGGGAGGTGCTGCACGATGGGGGGAGGTGCTGCACGATGGGGGGAGGTGCTGCACAATGGGGGGAGGTGCTGCACAATGGGGGGAGGTGCTGCACAATGGGGGGAGGTGCTGCACAATGGGGGGAGGTGCTGCACAATGGGGGGAGGTGCTGCACAATGGGGGGAGGTGCTGCACAGTGGGGGGAGGTGCTGCACGATGGGGGGAGGTGCTGCATGATGGGGGGAGGTGCTGCATGATGGGGGGAGGTGCTGCACGATGGGGGGTGCTGCACAATGGGGGAGGCGCTGCACGATGGAGGGAGGTGCTGCACGATGGGGGGGAGGTGCTGCACAATGGGGGAGGTGCTGCACAATGGGGGGAGGTGCTGCACAATGGGGGGAGGTGCTGCACAATGGGGGGAGGTGCTCCACAATGGGGGGAGGTGCTGCACAGTGGGGGGAGGTGCTGCAGAATGGGGGGAGGTGCTGCACAATGGGGGGAGGTGCTGCACAATGGGGGGAGGTGCTGCACAATGGGGGGAGGTGCTGCACAGTGGGGGGAGGTGCTGCACAATGGGGGGAGGTGCTGCACAATGGGGGGAGGTGCTGCTCAAATGGGGGAGGAGCTGCAAGATGGGGGGAGGTGCGGCACGATGGGGGGAGGTGCTGCACAATGGGGGGGGAGGTGCTGCACGATGGGGGGAGGTGCTGCAAGATGGAGGGAGGTGCTGCACGATGGAGGGTGCTGCACAATGGGGGAGGTGCTGCAAGATGGGGGGAGGTGCTGCACGATGGGGGGTGCTCCACAATGGGGGAGGTGCTGCACGATGGAGGGAGGTGCTGCACAATGGGGGGAGGTGCTGCAAGATGGGGGGAGGTGCTGCAAGATGGGGGGAGGTGCTGCACGATGGGGGGTGCTGCACAATGGGGGAGGTGCTGCACGATGGAGGGAGGTGCTGCACAATGGGGGGAGGTGCTGCAAGATGGGGGAGGTGCTGCACGATGGGGGGAGGTGCTGCACGATGGGGGGTGCTGCACAATGGGGGAGGTGCTGCACGATGGGGGGAGGTGCTGCAAGATGGGGGGAGGTGCTGCAAGATGGAGGGAGGTGCTGCACAATGGGGGGAGGTGCTGCACGATGGGGGAGGTGCTGCACAATGGGGGGAGGTGCTGCACAATGGGGGGAGGTGCTGCAAGATGGGGGGAGGTGCTGCACAATGGGGGGAGGTGCTGCACGATGGGGGGAGGTGCTGCACAATGGGGGTAGGTGCTGCACGATGGGGGGAGGTGCTGCACAATGGGGGGAGGTGCTGCACGAAGGGGGGAGGTGCTGCAAGATGGGGGGAGGTGCTGCAAGATGGGGGAGGGGCTGCACGATGGGGGGAGGTGCTGCACGATGGGGGGAGGTGCTGCAAGATGGGGGGAGGTGCTGCACAATGGGGGAGGTGCTGCACAATGGGGGGAGGTGCTGCACGATGGGGAGAGGTGCTGCACAATGGGGGGAGGTGCTGCAAGATGGGGGGAGGTGCTGCAAGATGGGGGGAGGTGCTGCACGATGGGGGGAGGTGCTGCACAATGGGGGGAGGTGCTGCAAGATGGGGGGAGGTGCTGCACAATGGGGGGAGGTGCTGCACGAAGGGGGGAGGTGCTGCAAGATGGGGGGAGGTGCTGCAAGATGGGGGAGGGGCTGCACGATGGGGGGAGGTGCTGCACGATGGGGGGAGGTGCTGCAAGATGGGGGGAGGTGCGGCACGATGGGGGGAGGTGCTGCATGATGGGGGGAGGTGCTGCACGATGGGGGGGGTGCTGCACAATGGGGTGAGGTGCTGC